TATGTTTATCAAGCAAAACACATTATTTATATTATTTTAAAATTATACATTCTAAGCATACTAATTAGATAAAAAAATGATTTTAAAATTATATTATTTTAATAAAATATTCATATAATTCTTATTTTAAAAATATATAATTTCAATAAATATTTGTTATCTCATTCAAATAACATAACTTTAAAATGATGTTTGTTAAAAGAAATATACTTTTGCAGTGTTTGATCTGATGGATGAATATTTTCCTAATTATATATATTACAAAACTTCAACACGTTAATGTCATATCTTTGTTACATAATGGATCAAACGCCCACCAAATGCCGGCCGATTTCTGCATTTTAAAAAAAATTTCCAAACCTTTATTTTTTGTATTGGAATGTTTTTTGACCATTTCATTTAAGCTCAAGAACACAGGTCCATTAATCATGTTTAGAACATAACATAACAGAACACTTCGAAAACAAAAGGGAAAGATGGGTATGAAGATCGAGGTCGTGTTCTTTTTCTTCGTTCTTCCCCTTGCCCTCGCTGATCTGAGGGTTGGATTTTACAATTCTTCCTGTCCTCAAGCGGAATCTATAGTTCGAGGGGTGGTGCATTATCATTTCACGACTGATAAATCCATCACTGCAGCGTTGCTTCGCATGCATTTTCACGATTGTTTTGTTAGAGTAAGCTTCATTTCATTCCCAAATCACATTCGTGAGTCGGCTCCATTTTTCCTAACTATACAACTTTCCATTTAGTAATTTGTTTTCAAATATATATATATATATATTGTATAATTCAAATTGTAGTAAATTGTAAAATATAAATCATTGAACAGATCACTTAATATAATATGTCATCTTCTATTCAATAATTTTTTAAATATTTTAATACAATTTAAACTGTAAAATAATGAATTTTTTTATTTTTTTTTCTTAACAAAGGTAAAATTTTAAATTATTAAAAATAATTTTTGCAATCTCATATACACTAAATTATAAAATTTAGGCATATCAAGGCTATAATATTACAATTGGATGCAACTACAAAATTTTATTTTTCTAAATTATATTAGTGAAATTAAACTATCTGTTTCATAAGGTTGTGATGCATCAATTAATTCTTAGACTCGACCGACAAAAATCAATCGGAGAAAGATGCGGGACCTAACTTCACAGTACGTGGATATGAGCTAATTGACAAGGCCAAGAATGCCCTGGAGGCCGCCTGCCCTTTGGTTGTTTCCTGCGCAGACATCATCACCATCGCCACACGCTATGCTGTTGCGCTTGCTGGAGGACCATCCTATGTCATTCCCACAGAACGGCAAGGCGGGCTAGTCTCTGATCCCAGTGAAATCAACTTACCAGGACCAACATTTCCTGTATCCAAGGCATTCCAAAATTTCCAGTCCAAAAACCTAAGCCTAAATGATATGGCGACACGTTTGGGTGCACACGCTGTTGGAGTTGCACATTGTAATTTCTTCGTCGAACGGTTATCAGATTTCCAGGGGACTGGCAGTCCAGACCCTTCAATGGACCCAGCTCTGGCAGCTAAGCTCAGACAGGACTGTAGCATGGTCGGTGATACAACTGCGTTTCTTGATCAAAATAGTTCATTTGTTGTTGACAATCAATATTATAAAGAGATTCTCTTGAAGAGAGGAATATTGCAGATTGATCAGGAGTTTGCTAAGATGGCTTTTGTCCGGATTTGCGTCGAACAACATCAGATTCAGCAAAAGGTTTACAGATGCTATGGTGAAGCTGGGAAGGATTGAAGTTCTTGTTGGTAATGATGGAGAAATCAGGAAGAATTGTAGGGCCTCCAATTAAGCCAAAACAAATTACGTATGATCATTTGACAGAGAAAAGTGAAATTATTGGTCTCTTATGTAATAGCGTAAAATCATTTTGGTTAATGAATTCATTTTTATGATTATGGACTATATAACATAAATAATTCTTTTACTTAAAAAATTTCTCCACACCTAGGTATATTAATTAAATTCAAACTTGAGATATTCAGTTTAAAAATTTTAACTTTTCTTTGAAGAAGAAGTATGGTCTTTCTAATTTTGCAGATGTTAAATTCAAACATAATGCTCATAATTCTTAATGATATTTAGGATTCCAGCAGGGACAAGACACTACAACACTTATATCAGTTAAGAGTCGTTGCCTAAAGCTTATGTTAAGTCAGTTTTTGTCTTTGTGGGAAATGGAGGAAAAAAATAATTTAAATAAAATTAAAAAAAAAAAGATGATTCCAACCAATAATTTTTTTTTTTTTAAGTAAAAGACACATGGGATAGCATTTTTTGGTAAACGGACACATAATTATCCGGGCTCTTTTATCAAGCGAGTTAGCTCTATAACCCATGGTTATCTGGGCTTGGCTCAGCATCCTTCGGTTTTTGTTTAAATTCTGAATTAAGTGAAACTGTAGAAGGGTGAGTTTCCGGCATCGGCTTAAATCCAACTAGGCGAAGGATTTATTGAACTTAAGGGTGTAAGACTTGAGAGCTTCCACCTTAATCACCAGCACAAATATTCATTGTCTAACTTTCATTCCCTTCTGTTTGATAGAAGTATCAAATAAGGAGACCAACTTTTCTTTATTATGTAATTGAGTGCATAAAATTCTAATAATGACAAATAAGGACACTATCAATGATTATGGCAAATACTAAACCCTATAGAATAATGAAATTCAAGGCCTTGCGCTTGGTATGAGGCTATTTTTCTAGGAAATTGTTTGTTAAAAGGAAAATGATACATACACCTTATAAAGTTACATACTCCGTTATACACTAATGGTTTTCGTTATAATCCATTACACATTTCCCTCATAACTCCCCAAATGCACCCAACACTTTCTTTCTCTTTGCCCTTTCTCTTTGTCCTTTCCTTTCTCCCTCTTGTTGTTTCAGCCTTATGCACATAAAACAAGTCTATTTTTGGGATGATTAGTAGAAAGTGGAGTGCATGGGAGTGGAGCCAATTGGTAGAAAAGGGGAAAGAAAACAGGGAAAACTTCTGCAATTTTGGTATTGTGCATAGCTTTGCCACTTTGTTCAATTTGCAAATGTTCACCGTTGGATTAAGTTGAAATTTTGTCTAGATGTTCAAGAGACATTGATCTACATTATGAATGGTCAGTTTTTTGTTTGGAGCTTTGTAGGTTTCAATTTTGTGCCTAGAGCAGTGGCTTGTTTTTGGTGATCTTTTTTTTTTTTTTTTGTAGTTTTGGTACTGTGTACAACTTTATCATTTTGTTCAATTTGCAAAAGTTCGCAATTGGATTGAACTGAAATTTTGTTTAGGTGTTCAAGAGACATTGATCTATATTCTAAATGGTAAGTTTTTCATTTAGACCTTTGTAGGTTCTGATTTTGTGCCTAGAACAATAGTTCATTTTTTGGTAAACCGTCAGTGTGTAATGAGTTAAATAACAAAGACTGTCAATGTGTAACGGAGTATGTAACGGAGCAGAGTGTATGTATCAGTGTCTTTGTTGGAAAAGTGATTTTGAAAGTTTAGAATTGTACAAAGAGTTAGTAACTTATGTAATGAAGTTTTTTTTTAGATTGTTAACTTGATAATATTTAGTAAGAAGTTGATATTTTGAAAGTTGAGAGAAATTGTCAAGCAAGTTCCAATCAAGAAAAGTTAGGGAGAAACATTTTATTCCTTCCTAATAGGTGGGAAGAGAAGATTTGTTATCGAGAATTGTATAAAGAACAAAAGTAAGTCAAAAATACCAAATTTACGCATTTTTATGAGAAATAGAGGTTGTATTAAAATAAATAAATCAAGATTAACCCTTTATTTGTTATAGTATTTTTTTTAGGAAAACAGATCTTGTATTGAGTTAAAGAGACAAAGCAAGTACAATACAACTTTCTGTTGGAATTTAAGTATTTTAATAAAAAATAAAAATAGTATATTTTATAAATTAAATTTATTATCCTATTAAAGATTTGGTTAAATTAGCCATTATAGATTAATTTTCCTACTTGACGGCTAATTATTTCATAACAATTACCTAATTTATTCCTATAATTAACCTCTAAATGAGGGTTATAGGACCAGGGGTCCTATAAATGAGACATGTTACTTTTCTCAAAATGTTTTTTCCTCTACATTCTTTTATTTTCTTACTTTACTCTATTTTCTAATATTCTTAGGCAAAGGAGGGTACTTTAAGTTAGGTGACGCTCTAGGTAGTGTAGATTTATAGTGTTATTATAAAATTGTAACATTTTGGGGGTGACATGTTATGTATATCTCTATTGCGCTAGGAGATCTACTCTCTATAGAAATGCGAAAGCATAAATTACTTTAAGGTAAGAAAGCCTTTTACACTTATTTTGGTGATATTTTCTTATTAATATTTCCTCAATAAATTTACTAATTATTAATTTTATTATTTTGTGATTAAGGTACAACAATGACATACTATAGGGATGAAGAAGAATTTTCATAGAACAACAATTTACCTCACTCCGAGGCACCTAGCAATCTATAATTTTCATATGCCACGACAAATATGTCCCCTAAAGTACAAAGTAACTCAAAAAATAAAACAAACTAAAAAAAAATAGCTAAACAAAAATAAAACAACCTTGCTATCCATTTACCTCTCGAGCATTAGTTATATCGCCATAACACACTCGACAACATAACAGTTTGTAGCTAAATAATAAACCTAACTTGAAGTTATCGCACCCTAAGCACTTCTTATAGACAAACTCATGAGTCATCTTTGACATTTGTCCAAAGCTAAGGGTATAATTTAAGGAGCCCTCTAAGACCTCAACGTTAAAAGGTTCGAAATTAGTTTCAAATGTAAAGGATATTAGTGACAAACTAAAAATCACTCACTATTTTTAGTCATGAAAAGCCATTTTCTTATAGTGAAATAAAAATTTATATGAAATATTAGTTTGTTATAAATTGTGACAAAATTGCGAGATTTTGACGCAAATTGTGTAATTTAGCATAAATTAACTCAATTAAACTTCTCTTGAACAACTGATATTTTATGTTATTTTAGGTTACTTTTAGTGATTTTCATGTTTTTTGTATTATTTTGGGCTAAACATTTATTTATTTGGGGCCACAAGAACTAAACAAAAAAAAATTTGCTATCTCCTTTTTTGAACGAGAATGATAAGTCAGGTTAAAATGCCATAAAAATAATTTTGATAAGTTCTATAAAATTCTGAAATGAACCAACAAGAAAAGTCTCTCAAAAACTCAGATTCAATAGCTCCCCCAATTAGGGTTACAAGCCCTTTAAATAGGGAAAAAAAATTCTAATTAGAATAGGAAACTAACACCCTAAACCCTAATCATAATAACCACAAATTGGGTCTCAAATAAATGAATGTTTAGTCCAAAATAATACAAAAAATGTGAAAATCACTAAAAGTAACTTAAAGTAACATGAAATATTAGTTTGTTACATTTTGGGCTGAACATATATTTATTTGAGGCTCAATTCGTGGTTATTAGGATTAGAGTTTATGGTGTTAGTTCCCTATTTTGATTCACACTCACAGAGTCTAGAGGTTGCAGTAAGACTTCATCCTCCATGTCACAAAACAAAACAAACCCCACTATTGAAGGGATGACATTACATTAAAGACAACATGAAACCCCCACTTGTGGAGGTATAAAGCCGCATCATAGGACAGCACAAACCCTCACTATCGGAGAGGTGAAGCCGCACCAAACGGTGGCACAAACGCTCACAAATGGAGGGATGAGAGTAACATGTAAAAAAATGGACAAAACATAGTGTAGGAATCCCCACCGCTAGATGGATGAAGCCATCCATGTGGCTAAGGTTTTTCATGTTCTCTTGAAGAACAATGGCTCTATAGTTTGGAAGACGCTTTTTCTTTATTTATTATAGTATTTTTTTTGATAAATTTATTTATTATAGTCTTAATATATGTAAATACCAAAATAATGCTGAACTTTCTCAAGAAAGTTGTAGGAAACACCTCATACAATACACAACTAGCCAAAAGCAAAAATAACCAAACCTCATTTTCATGTAATTAACTTATCCTTCTTCAGCCATTCAGTAATCTCACTTGTTAGTTTTAGATTTAAAGAAAATGAGGGAGAGAAAGAGAGGTCGAGAGAGATGCAGGGATGCAGGTAACGGTCACCAGACTAGGAGCAGGCGGACAATACTGGGTAGAGAGTTCAATCGGCACAGAGGAAGAAGTCGACAAGGAAGGGTGGACAGGGCAAAACAGAGGGCGTGGAATGGGAAGCAGAGGGAATATATGGAAAGGAGATATGATGTGGGAATGTTCAAGCAAGCCACTACCTTCTTCTTCACCAACATTCCCAATGACTGGAGCTACTCTGAAATGTGGATAGAATTTGCAAAATTTGGCAGAGTATTCGCAATATACAGCCCTCTAAGAAGAAGTAGAAATGGAAGAAGGTTCGGCTTTGTCAGATACCTCAACGTTAAGGATGAGAAAGAATTAGAGAGGAAACTTGATCAGATCCGAATCAAGGGCAACAAGATTTGGGTTAACTTAGCCAAGCACCCTAAAGAGGAAGTTAAAGAAAGGGACACAAGGAGAATCGTAACCACAAATATGGTTGCTACAGGAAAATCATATGCAGATGCAGTGAAAGGGAAGTTGGGAAGGGCTCCATAAAAAGCAGAACCTATACATGCAAAGATGAGGCCGAAGTTGGACACCCAGACAACAAAGAGTAGAAGCAACAATACACCTAGACAACAAAACACTAGACAAACGTGGAAACTCAAAAGCAAACAAGAAGAATGGTTAGGAATTGAGTACAACGTCAAAGAAGAAGAATACGAGTGGCTGCGTGGCTGCTATGTGGGCATTGCTCACTCAGTGGAAATAGTGCCAAACCTTCAAGAAAAGTTTTATATGGAAGGTTATTTCTCTTGCAGACTCCGAGCAATATGGGGTAAGATGATCTTAATGGAATGTGAGGATAAAGAGGAATTAAAAGAGCCAGTACAAGGCGCTGCAAGCTGGCTGGGTCAGTGGTTCTCAGAAGTTAAACCTTGGACAACTGCTATGGTGGCAAATGAAAGATTTGTCTGGATGAGATGCCTAGGAGCACCAATTCATGCTTGAGGGCCAGATTTCTTTGAGACTATAGCCAATGCATGGGGCAAGTTTATATGTCTGGATGACAGTACAAGCAAGAGGAGGAGGTTCGACATAGCCAGATTCCTTATATTGACATCGATAATGGATTTAATCTCGGTTAAGAGGTAGATCAAAGTTAATGGAGTCTTTTACGATCTTAAATTTTCGGAAGAGGAAATGATTAATAGCCTATTCTCATTAAGGTATGATTTTATGCTAGATTTTAAGAGCGATTCTAGCTCTAAAGAGTCATGGTCGGAGGGAAGCGATGATGATGAGGAGCTGGGAAGTAAATTCAGTGCAGGAGATAACGAAAATTTCGACGGAGAAGAAGAAGATGTTAAAGGGGAACATGAGTTAAATGAGCTAGACAAACGGTCGACCAACACTCCGTCTGACAAAGTAAAATTTAAAATGAAGGGCACGGGTGAGTTTGAAATTGTGGCAGAGAGAGGTGGCGTGAATACTCAGAGAAGATTTGATAGGATCACATACAGCCAGCTGGGTGAGGAAGAATCAATGGAGATGGTGGAGGACAGTATGGAGGAGCTTCTAGAAGCAAGTGACATGGGGAGTGGTGAAGAGGTGGGGCTTTGTAAATTGGGCTCTAAGAGTAGGACAACAATGGACTCAATAGAGAACACGGAAGAATATGATTTGGGCCAGGCGAAAGCCCATGTTGAAAGGCTTGGGTCTAATCCATGAAGAAAATGAAGAAGGAGACAAGTATTTGAGGGCCCCATCGAATTCAAAAAGCAGAACATAAGTGGGAGAAAAGGGGGATTTGTTGGGAATATCAAGAAATGAGGAAAGAAGGGACCATCAGCAAATTTGCAATGAGATACAAGCAGAGACACCGAGTGAAGAATCAAGGGTGAATGAAAGGGTAAGCACCAGCGAAAAAATAGACAAAAAAAGTAGAAAAAGGAGAGCTATGAGCTGTAGAGCAATTTACCAAAGAGCCATAATGTTCGGATTAATGGGCCAACGAAGGAAGGGCCGAAGCAAATCTAAGAAGAAGCAAGCAGAGAAAGAAGGGATGCCGAGGTTCTTTCCCAATATGAGTAATTCGGTGGCAGGGGGATTAGTGAGAGACAGTGGAATAAAGAATTGCAATAGGATGCTGAAGGAGCAAAGCAGCTAGCAGACTGCAGCAAAACTATGGGAATTTGCAAAAAAAATTTGGTGTGGATGCAGAGGATGAGGAAGAGGCTGTCAAGATCCTTGAAGAAATGGAGATTCGTGATAGAAAAGAAAAGGCAGAGGGTAGCTCAAAGGAAGAAAGAAAGAATAAGAAGGTTAGTGAAGCTGCACAATGAATATCTTATCCTTTATTAATTAGAGGGATTGGAGGTGCTGGGAAGAAGAGGTATATTAGAGATCTAGTAGTAAAGGAGAAAGTGGATTTTTTAGCAATTTAGGAAACAAAATTAGCAGGAGTGGATAAACAATTCTGTAGAGCAGTGTGGTGGTATGAAGATTTTGAGTGGGTAGCCAAGGATGCTTGTGGAATGTCGGGTGGCATGCTTTGTTTGTGGAACCCCAAAGTGCTTACCATGTCCAGAATAATAGAGGGAGAAAATTTCATAGGCATAGAAGGAATTTGGGGGAGAGAGACGACCCCAGTGAGCATAATTAATGTATATTCCCCATGCCAGTTATCAGGGAAACGAACCTTATGGAAGGAATTGAAAAAACTGGTTTTTGGTAGAAGAGGTAATTGGTGTATTGCAAGTGATTTCAATGTAGTAAGAAAGACAGAGGAAAGAAAGGGGAGCAAGGGTATAAGCAATGAGATGAGAGAGTTTGACAGTTTCATAAGAGAAGCAGATTTGATTGATATCTCGTTAGTGGGCAAAAAGTTTTTGTGGTATCATGCTAGTGGACAGTATATGAGTAGAATAGACAGATTTCTACTTTTTGAAGGGTGGTTGTCCAAATGGGGTGAAACCAGACAATGGGGTTTAAGAAGAACAGTATTAGATCATTGCCCAATCCTACTCAAATTTTAGCAAGTAGACTGGGGTCCTAAACCATTCAGGTTCTTTGATGCTTGGTTAAAGATGGAAGGCTGTAGGGAGCTAATAAGAGAGGTATAGAGCAAAGTAGAAATCGAAGGATGGGCAGGGTATCGTCTCAAAGAAAAGATGAAGTTGACAAAGGAGGCGCTAAGGAAATGGAGCAGGGACTCAACCCTAGATATAGAGAGAAAGATAAGCAATATTGCAGCAGAGATAGATTGGATTGATAGGAAGGGGGAACAAGAGCAGTTGATGGAAGAAGACATCAAGAAAAGAAGAGAGGCCACAATAACCTTATGGGAAAATATGAAGAGAAAAGAAAGTATGATTCAACAGAAATCAAGGAAGACATGGTTAGCTCATGGAGATGCAAATACAAAGTTCTTCCACAAGTGTGTAAAAGGGAGATGGAGAAGAAATGAGATGAGTAGCATACACATAAATGGAGTCCAGTTAAAGGAAGCTATCAGAATGAAGGACGAGCTTGCTGGTTTCTTTGAGGAGATGTTTAAGGAAAAATAGAGGGTTAGGCCAAAGCTGGATGGGGTGTGTTTCAAACAGATAATGATTTCATAACTGGACCCTTCAGTGAAGGTGAGATCAAGGAAGCAGTGTGGGAGTGTGATAGCTTGAAAGCGCTAGGCCCTGATGGGTTTAACTTCAGGTTTATCAAGTGCGAATGGGAGCTAATAAAAGATGATGTGATTAGATTCCTACAGGAATTCCACAACAACAGCAAGATGGTGAGAGCACTCAACACCTCCTTCATTGTACTAGTTCCTAAATTGGACAATCCGTAAAAGATAGAGGAGTATCGACCCATCTCTTTAATTGGAGTTATGTATAAAATCCTAGCCATGTTGCTAGCCAACCGCATAAAGAAGGTGTTGCACCAGGTTGTGGGAGAACAATAGACGACATTTTTAAGTGGAAGACAGTTGATGGATGGAGTTTTGATTGCTAATGAGGTGATCGACGAAGCAAAAAAGAAGAAGAGGAAAACAATTATGTTTAAGATCAACTTTGAAAAGGCCTATGATAAGGTTAGTTGGGAATTCCTGGAATATATGATGAAGAGAATGGGATTCTGTGACAAGTGGAGGAAGTGGATCAGAGAGTACTTAAGAACAAGCCTTATATCAGTTCTGGTCAATGGTAGCCCAACAAGGCAATTTAATGTTTCAAAAGGTCTTAGACAAGGAGATCATTACTGCAGGAATGGGATTTCCGAACCGAAATATCGGTCCGGATATATAAGAAATCGGTCTGAATATATATATCCGGACCGATATTGGTCCTTATAGTTGATCTGAAAAAACGTGGTACGAATAAGTCTAATATACAGACCGATGTAGAATCGGTTCGTATATATATACTAT